GTATCCCAGAAGTTTTGATAAGTTGTGTCACTGTTATCGTTCAGTTCCAAAAATTTTTAAATTTCCTTCGTGATTTCTTTGTTGGCACAAAGATCATTCAGGAGCAGATTGTTTAATTTCCATGTATTTGTATAGTTTTGAGGGTTTTTTCTGGAGTTGATTTCTAGTTTTATTCCACTATGGTTTGAAAGAGTACTTGGTAAAATTTTGATTTTCTTAAATTTGCTGAGACCTATTTTGTGGCCTATTATATGATCTATCTTGGAGGATGTTCCAGGTGCTGATTAATAGAATTTATATTCTGCAGTTGTTGGGTAGAATGTTCTATAAATATCTGTTAAATTCATTTGTTCTAGGGTATGGGTTAAGTCCATTGAAAAACTCCAATCTTAAAAGAAACAGAGTAAGTTATATAATGAAGATGAGTGTTTAATCATAAAGAGAGTAAGTGAATAATAAGAGATGTGCTGTCTTCTCAACTTCTGTAGGATTGTTCTCATCGAAGTAATGTCAACAGCTATATGTCATCTGTATCAAGAGCAACCATTTAAAGACAAGCTGTATGTGCTACTCTGCTGTGTATCACTTATAGAGAATGTATGAGTAGCTATTTGTGTCAAGAGTCATTTTCCTATGAATCCATTACTTCAGTGACAATATTATTTAGCGTATAAATTGGAACACGTTAAGAATAAAAGGGAGTACTATAAAGACTTAAAGACCATAGGCATAAACCTGGGCTCTCATGGACAAATTGGGAAATGTGATCACCCAGCCTATAATTCTCTTGAAATACTGCAATTGCTTGCAATAACAATACCATGACACATTATCAGTAATAGCAATCTGTGCTTGCCTTTTACTTTCACTTTCAAATCTTCCAGTAGCCTTTGATTTTCTTCTTCAAGTCTCAATTCCTCTTCTGTGGCTTTTCTGAAATGAAAAGTTTCAAATTTAATTATCTTTGGAAATTCAGATATCTCACACTATTATAGGATTAAATGCTTATAGTGTTAAAAATAAAGAATAAATTTTGTAATATTAAACTTACTTTACAATGTATAATTTTAAATTACTCAGGTTGAGACTAGTTACTTTCCAGGTTTTTTTTTTTCTGGGGAAGAAAAATTGGAATGTTATACTTTGAAAACTTTTGTCTATTAATTAGGAAACCTGTCACAAATAAGAAAGGATTACCTACACCTATGTTGAAAAGCAAATGGGAGGATTTGTAGCATTTTTCCTCTGATTTAATGGTAAGTGTTTACAACATAATGTTAAGTAAGAAAAGTCGAATATGAAACTGTATATATAATAAAATTTTAATTTGGTATTTAGAATGCATATAAATGAAGATAAAAAGACTAGTAGAAAACTAATCAAATGGTCAACACAGATGATGGCATATGAGAGTTTTAAGTTTTCTTTAACTTTTTGCATTAAAATGTTTTCTATACTGAATAAGCAGAACATTTGTAAACTTATCTTTCTAATATGAGAGAACGCTAATTATTTTATTTTTAACACGGTAGTGATGAAATTTAAAGAGACCTGGAATATGGAAACTTAAAAAGCTGGAGGGAATCTGTTTTTCATTAGGATTGAAGCACCAAACCCACCTTAACAATGGTGAAGAAAGGTGGAAGGAAAGTTAGTAATATGATGGAGAAAGGCAATATTTATTAAAAATTAAAATGTATATATCTTTGAACTAGAAATTTTATGTCTAGGAATTTAGCCCTCAAAAAGAGGCAGACTACTGCTCAAAGGAACATATAAAATAATGTTGACTGAATCTTTAAAAAATTATAACAAGAGGAGATGCTCCAAGATGGCTGAATAGGAACAGCTCTGGAGTGCATTCCCAGTGAGAACAACACAGAGGGCAAGTGAACACTGCATTTCCAAACTAGTTTTTACTGCCCACAGACCAGGAGATTCCCTGGCAGAAAAGCGCTATCAGTCTCCAACATGGCTGTTTCAGCCAGCACAGCAGGTCTCCGCATAAAAACTCACACAAATCTGGGCAGCTGTTTCAACTGGTGCCTGGAATGCCTGGGAGACAAAGTCGGCCATTCAACTGAAAAAAAGGGGGCTGAAACAGGGAGCTAGGTGATCTGGCTCGGCAGGTTCCACCCCTACAAAGACCAGCAATCTGAAATGCTCTGGATTGAGAGTTTCAGAGAAAGCACAGCTGGACCCTGGATGGTCCAGCTCTGTTGGGGGAAGGACATCTGCCATTACTTAGGCAGTCCACCACTACTGAGGCAGTCCACCATTACTGAGGCAGTCCACCATTACTGATACAGCCCGCTATTAACCAGGCAATCCGCCATTACCGAGGCAGTCCACCATTATAGAGACAGTCCCCCATTACTGAGGCAGTTCTAACTATACCTCTATAAACAAAACCACAAGGATGTTCACCCAGCAGCTGGGCAGAGCCCACCGCAGCTCAGCAATGCCTCTGCTGGAAGACTGTGACTAGGCTACCTCCTCGCTGGGCAGAGCAGCTCTGAAAAAAGGCAGCAGCACATCAGGAACTTATAAATAAAGCCCCACCTTCCCAGGACAGAGCACCCGGGAAAAAAAAGCGCTTATGAGTTCTGCTGCAGCAGACTTAAACATACCTGCCCAGCAGCTCTGAATGTAATAACAGAGCTCATAGCTCAGGACTTGAGCTCCTATAAGGGACAGACTTGTCTCCTCAAGCAGCTCCCTGACCCCCAAATATCCAAAGAGACACCTCACAAAGGAGAGCTCAGGCTGATATCCAGCAGGTATCCTTCTGGGACAAAGATAACAGAAGAAGAAACTGGCAGCAACCCTTACTGTTCTGCAGCTGCCGCAGGTAATCCCCAGGCAAGCAGGGTCTGGAGTGGACCTCCAGCAGTCCTACAGTAGAGGGGCCTGACTGTTAGAAGGAAACTAAAAAACAGAAAGAAATAACTTCCTCGTCAACAAAAAGGATGTCCACTCAGAGACCCCATCTAAAGTCACCAACCATAAAGACCACAGGCAGATAAATTCACAAAGATGGGAAGAAACCAGCGCAAAAAAGATGAAAACACCCAAAACCAGAACACTCTCCTCCTCCAAGGGTTCACAACTCCTTATCAGCAAGGGAACAAGGCTGGATGGAGAATGCATCTGATGAACTGACAGAAACAGGCTTCAGAAAGTGGATAATAAAAGACTTCTCTGAACTAAAAGAACATGTTCTAACCCAATGCAAAGAAACTAAGAACTTTGAAAAAAGGTTGGATGAAATGCTAACTAGAATAAACAGCTTAGAGAAGAATATGAATGAATTGATGGAGCTGAAAAACACAACCCAAGAATTTCATGAGGCATACGCAAGTTTCAATAGCCAAATTGACCAAACAGAGGAAAGGATATCAGAGATTGAAGATCAACTCAATGAAATAAAATAAGAAGGTAAGATTAGAGAAAAAAGAGTAAAAAGAAATTAAAAAAGCCTCCAAGAAATATGGGATTATGTGAAAAGACCTAATCTATGTCTGATAGGTGTACCTGAATGTGACGGAGAGAATGAATCCAAGCTGGAAAACACTCTTCAGGATACTATCCAGGAGAACTTCCCCAACCTAGCAAGGCAAGCCAATATTCAAGTCCAGGAAATACAGAGAACCTCACGAAGATATTCCACAAGACGAGCAATCCCAAGGCACATAATCGTCAGATTCACCAGGGTTGAAATGAAGGAGAAAATGCTAAGGGCAGCCAGAGAGAAAGGTTGGGTTACCCACAAAGGGAAGCCCATCAGACTCACAGCGATCTCTCAGCAGAAACCCTATAAGCCAGAAGAGAGTGGGGGCCAATATTCAACATCCTTAAAGAAAAGAACTTTCAACCTAGAATTTCATATTCAACCAAACTAAGGTCATAAGCAAAGGAAAAATAAAATCCTTTATGAACAAGCAATTTCTTAGAGATTTCATCACCACCAGGTCTGTCTTACAAGAGCTCCTGAAAGAAGCGCTAAAGATAGAAAGAAACAACCAGTACCAGCCACTCCAAAAATGTACCAAATGGTAAAGAACATTGACATAATGAAGAAACCGTGTCAACTAACAGGCTAAACAACCAGCTAGCATCAAAATGGCAGGATCAAATTCACACATAACAATATTAACCTTAAATGTAGATGGGCTAAATGCCCCAATCAAAAGACACAGATTGGCATATTGGATAAAAATTGAAAACCCATAGGTGTGCTGTATCCAGAACACCCATCTCATGTGCAAGGATACACATAGGCTCAAAATAAAGAGATGGAGGAAGATTTACCAAGAAAATGGAGAGCAAAAAAAAGTAGGAGTTACAATCCTAGTCTCTGATAAAATTAACTTTAAACCAACAAAGATCAAAAGCGACAAAGAAGGGCATTACATAAGGGTAAAAGCATCAATGCAACAAGGAGAGCTAATGATCCTAAATATATATGCACCGAATACAGGAGCACTCAGATACATAAACCAAGTTCTTAAGGACATACAAAGAGACTTAGACTCCCATACAACAATAGTGGGAGACATTAACACTCCACTGTCAATATTAGACAGATCAACGAGACAGAAAATTAACAAGGATATCCAGGACTTGAACTCAGACCTGGATCAAGCAAACCTAATAGACATTTACATAACTCTCCACCCCAAATTCCCAGAATATACATTCTTCTCAGCACTACATCACAATTACTCTAAAACTGATCACATAATTGGAAGTAACTCACTCCTCAGCAAATGCAAAAGAAGGGAAATCATAGCAGTCTCTCAGACCACAGTGCAATCAAATTAGAACTCAGGGTTAAGAAACTAACTCAGAAACTAGCACAGCTTCATGGAAACTGAACAACTGGCTCTTGAATGTCGACTGGATAAACAATGAAATGAAGGCAGAAATAAAGATGTTCTTCAAAACCAACAAGAATGAAGACACAACGTACCATAATCTCTGGGGCACATATAAAGCAGTGTCTAGAGAAAAATTTACAGCAATAAATGCCCACATGAGAAGCAAGGAAAGATCTAAAATCAACACCCTATCATCAAAATTGAAAGAGCTAGAGGAGCAAGATCAAACAAACTCAAAAGCTAGCAGAAGACAAGAAATAACTAAGATCAGAGCAGAACCAAAGGAGATAGAGACACAAAAACCCTTCAAAAAATTATTAAATCCAGGAGCTGGTTTTTTGAAAAGATCAACAGAATAGACCACTAGCCAGATTAATAAAAAAGAAAAGAGAAGAATCAAATAGAGGCAATAAAAAATGATAAAGGGATATCACCACAGATTCCACAGAAATACAAACTACCACCAGAGATTCCTACAAACAACTCTGTGCACAGAAAACAGTAAACCAGGAAGAAATGGATAAATTCCTGGACATTTGTATCCTCCCAAGCCTAGACCAGGAAGAAGTCAAAACCCTGAATAGACCAATAACAACGGCTGAAGTTGAGGCAGCAATTAATAGCCTACCAACCAAAAAAAGTCCAGGTCTAGATGGGTTCACAACCGAATTCTATCAGACATACAAAGAGGAGCTGGTACTAGTCCTTCTGAAACTATTCCAAATAATACAAAAAGAGGGTATCCTTTCCAGATTATTTTATGAGACGAACATCATCATGACACCAAAGCCTAGCAGAGACTCAACAAGAAAAGAAAACTTCAGGCTAATATCCATCATGAACATAGATGCATAAATTTTCAATAAAATACTGGCAAACCAATTGCAACAGCACATCAAAAAGCTTATTCACTATGATCAAGTAGGCTTTATCCCGGGGATGCAAGGCTGGTTCAATACATGCAAGTCTATAAATGTAATTCACCACATAAACAGAACCAAAGACAAAAACTACATGATTATCTCAATAGATGTAGAGAAGGCCTTTGACAAA